CCCTGCCCCGATCCACCAGTCGGGCAGCTACCAGCCCAAGCTCGCTGCTAGCTGCCCCACCAGTAGATCGAGCCGGCGGGAAGGTGGCTGGGGGCTGGGACCTGTCCCTCCCCTGTAAATCTTTCCAAGCCCATGCCCCTGATTGGGGAGCCAGAGCCAGGAGCTCCCTGCTGTAGTGGCAGATGAACATTATCCCCTGCCCAGTAGCAGGCAGCCTCCCCTCCCACAACCCAGGGCCAGGAGACAGTTGTCTCCTGGCCCAGTGCTCCCTATCAGCCCCTGGGCTAGCTCCCAAGAGGTGCCTGGGGCTCCCTACAGTGGCAGCAAGACCCCATTGAAGGGCTGCAGAGAACTGGATGCAAATCTTCATCCTAATCCCTGCATATGTAGACACCTACCCAAAACCCCTTACTTTGCAGTAGTTTACCGCACAATCTAAGCTGGAGTAAATGCATCTGTAGACATGCTCACAGTGTACTTTCATAGGACTGGAGTATCAGTACTAAATTGTAGTTCCTGAACTAGCCAGTTTGGGTTTCTTTAGTGGTTTTTCTTTTGGTTCTATCTCGTAAGAGTTTCATAAGATATCAGAATTAAGAAACCCACTGAAGGTGCTCCTGTCCTCTAAACACAATGAATTGACAGAAACTGATTTACTTTCAGATGCGTGAGCTGAGACATGAGAATCTGGTGACTTTCTTTGGCATATGCACTGAGGCTCCAAATATGTGTATTGTTACCCAGTACTGCAAGAAAGGAAGCCTACAGGTAAAGCCTACAGCATTGTTTGTGACAACAGCAGACTTCATTTTTGCTTCTTTAAGAGAGTTGGTCAGGTAGGGTATGATTTTTTTTCTTTTTGTTTGCTAGCCATTTTTGCTACCTTCTGTTTTTTTAGTTGACACAAAGGCTTTCTTGGCATCTAAATGCTAGGACTTAGAATCCCCATATGTCTCCTCTTGTTCCTACATCGTCGATGCTTTAGCATTGCCTTGTTTTTATCTGCCTCCTTTCTTGTAAATAATAGAACAGAAAGAGAGAACAGGACTCTGCAGAATAATTTAAATACTACTGGTGTTATCAACAAAAGAGTGGATGCATAGAGATAACGCACCATAGAGGCAGTGAATATTAGACAGATCTTTACTCAGCTTCTTATCTTATAAACTCAAAAATGTTTATGCAAATTGAATCAATTTTGGAACTTGCATTTGCTGGACACTAGCATGTGGATGATATCACCAAAAATTGATCATTTGGAGACCAAATATGTAGGTGTTAAGGGAAAGTGACTGGGAGAAGGACACCCCATGGGAAGACTAGGTCCAATGGTCACAAACTCTTGGACATAAGGGAAAATATCTTTATTATCTGAGTCTCCCAGGCCTGGAATAAACTCCCCCCCAAGGGTGATGCAGGCACCTACTCTGGCTTCCTTTCAAAACACTTGGATGCCTATCTTGCTGGGCAGACAAGGTTCTTTGGGTGAATCTGGTATTTATCTTGCTGGGATCATTTAAGTATTTATCTTGCTGGGATAATTTAATCACTTGCTGACTGACTGCCTGCTCTTTGGGCATATGCACTGAGGCTCCAAATATTTGTATTGTTACCCAGTACTGCAAGAAAGGAAGCCTACAGGTAAAGCCTACAGCATTGTTTGCAGCAACAACAGACTTAGTTTTTGCTTCTCAATTCTCTGCACTGAAAATGAGTTTAAGGCTTTTTAGTGTTACAAGCTAAACCTTCCTTTCAACAGAGTTGCTATCAGAAGATTTTGGCAGTGCCTGCAGTGATATTGCAAAGTACTTCTATTTTTTAAAATAAGGCTACATCAATTTATTATCCAGTTTGATACGTTAAAGTAATATCCAAGTTTCAGTGACTCAATAAATAGGATCTAATTTCACCTTTAATTGATTAATCTCAGCTGGTAGCAAGTGGTCCTGGTTCACTGCGCAGACACCTCTGTCAATCACTGATCTAAACAGAGTCACTCCTGATATTGCACTGACATGAACACCATGGGAGAGAGGAGTCAGGTCCTACCTCTCTTTTTAGTTGCATTATCTGGTGTTTACCCATCCAGCCTGACACTTAAAATAAAGTTTTATTGCATCCCAGCCTGTTGAGTCATTCAAAGATAATGTTTCCATTTTTTCAGGATGTTTTGAGGAACTCTGGTATTGAATTGGATTGGATATTCAAACTGTCTTTTGCCTATGATATAGCCAATGTGAGTATAATGTTAAGTTCTTTTCTAGTAGAAAGACTTATCACACAAGCCAACAGGAACAGACAAGTGCTCTTTTTTATTTGAGTGTTTTGGAGACATTGGTGAAAATAGTATACTATACCAGTAATCAGGCTTCCATTTGCCTGGATATGCACCAATGGGAGTGCTGTGAGATCTGATAGGGTTTCAAGAATAATTATTAGATCAGTATATATTTCATTGTCACAAACTGAACTTGAGGATTTAGTTGCAGTCTCTTGTGCTGATAACATGAAAAAGCAAAAGATGGAAAAGCTGGGGGGGAAAGCCCCAAATTTTAAAACTTTTAAAACAGAAAGCTTTTTGAAACAAGTTCTGCTGGGCTGGGTACTTTTTACAGCCATTAGCACAGCGGTTCTCAACAATTTTAGACTTAAGGCACCTCTTTGTAACTTTTGGGAATTGAGTGGCACCCCATTAAAAAAATGATTTTATTAGAGTGCTTACGTTCTTGCGCAGGGATTGGTCAATAGGGGCAGGAGAGTAGTCAGGAAAGGAAAGCCTAAGCCTGCCCTTATCTCCTTACACTTCCTGTGGCACTCTCCAAGAATCGTGTGGCACCCCTGGATGTCCCAGCACCCTGACTGAGAATCACTGCCCTAACACAATGGAGGTCTCACCCGACTGGGGCCTATAAGCTCTGTTGCAACATGAACAATAATAATAAACCATGGGCAACTGGTGCCTCCTGAGTCTTGGGAGGCATCCCAGCATTGAGGATGGGGCTGGTGAGCACCTGCAGATGCCGCCAGGGGCAGTGGTGGCCAGGACAGCCCTGTTGGGGGTGGGGGGCACATGCCCCCTCACCAGTTGCATATGTAATAAACTATACCTTCTGCTTTAACATTTTTCTCTCTTTAGGAAGAGATTGCTTTCCAAGGCAAGAGTATTTCATTTAGAATAGTTTAGATGATATTAGATAGTGGAGGGCTATGTAGAAAGAATTAGCGTTGGGTGGCATGCTTGGCCATCTTGATTTTGTTAGTAGAGTCTGATTTTGGCATGTGGTGGTTAAAACAAAATTGGAATGTGAGAGGGTATGTTTGCGGGGCTGGAGGGAGAGAGAGAAAGAATTAGCAAATTCTTAAAAAAGGCAAGTTCTACTTGATGCTTGTTCAGTTACAGAAAGATGTTAGTATTTAGGCCCATGGTTCACATGGTCATTTTTGTAACATGGCTTTATTCACCTGGCTTTGGCAATATTTCTGTCTGTTTAGTGGCAGCACAATGGTCACTTTGTTGCTGAAGTGCTTTTGATTGTCAGGTGGACAGGAAGGGAGAGGTCTACATCTAAACGAGCAGGATTTACTATTTGAACAACTCAGTTCTATAAATTTTCTTCTTCAGTAAGGCATCAGTTGGTAAGAAAAGTTTAAATGGATTAGTTTCTATGATAACCATTTGTGAAGGGCCTCACTCTGGCTGGTGCTCCCTCGTGTTAGAAATTGAGAAAACATACAACTGAGTCCTTTTCCTGAAGAGTTTATAGTCTAATATCTTAGTTTAGTGATTGGGACACAAACCTAGCACTTTGGAAAATGTGTCATAGACTTTTCTGTATGACCAAATGCTGTCACTTAGTCTTTCTCTACTTTTCTTCTCTTCTGATCTGTAAAATAGGGAAAATAGTTCTTCCCTATTTCACAGGGCTATTGAGGTTGAATAAGTTGTAGACTGTGAGGTGCCCACATACTATTGCAGTGGATGACCCATAAATACCTATGAGATCTACACAAATTAGTCTCAATCCTGCAAGCTGTTCCACAGTGGGGTACTTTTCTGACTTTAATAATGAGGCATTAGCCTGTGGAATAGCTTCTTGGATTGGGGCCCATCCTAAGAACAGGTGCCGTAAGTGAACAGGACAACCAAATGGAGGAGGAGTGAGAGAGGACAATGATAGGAAAATATGGCCACACAGACAAAATGTGGGCGTAGCTGGCAAACTTTTTATTGGGTTTGGCCAGGAAAAGAATCACAAGGACATATTGAGCAACATATACACAATGATCTTTTCAAACAAAAGCCTCGATATTTCGTCAAATCAAAACAGGGCTAAGGGCAGGTTATATTTTCTAGTTCTAGAAGTCACAACCAAAACTGTATTCTTCCGTTCAGCCCAAGAGATTTCAGTCTTCCATATACCTGGTGCTAGGACAGCAGCCATTGTAACCTGTGTTCTCTTACCCATTGTAAATTCTATTATAATGTTTCTATTTTTGTAGGGGATGCTATTTATTCACAGCAGCCCACTGAACTCGCATGGAAACCTGAAACCTGGCAATTGTTTGGTGGATAATGGCATGCAAGTGAAGCTGTCTGGATTTGGGTTGTGGGAATTTAAGTATGGAAAGAAATGCCAAGTAATCACTGAGAAAACCACCAAATATGACGGTAAGAGAATTGTACGAGAATTACAAACATAGTGAGTCTTCCGAAACAAAAGGATGAAGTGACTACGTAAGCAGACGCTTTCCTTAATAATGGTCTTCAAGCACATTTTTATCTGCAGGATGTCATTGGATAGCACGTATTTCAAACCTGCTTTAGAACTTACCCAGGTTTCTTTATCCTCATGATGCTGCATGTTAGTGAGCCAAGAGATGTCAGTAAATTGTTTGTTTGGTCGATTTTTGCCTGTTGTTCATGAATTGGTGCCAAGCAGCTGATATGATTTTCCACAACTGATTTGTTGCGTGAAAATGTTTGGTGCATAATTTTGGTGAATAATTCTTGTTTGGTACCCCAGGTCTGGATTAAGTCATAAATACTAGTTATACGATTACATGAGAACCTCATCTTTTATCTTCAGCGTGTTCCTAAATTGTCAACAGTAGAATTTGGTGAGAGAGAGAGAGTAAGTTTCTATTCTTCATGGTTGCACAGAAAAGCTTGAAATCATGAACCCAGTGCGACCAATGTAGTGGTGATTGCCTGAGTCTGCTGATGGCCTGATACAGTAGCTCTGAGGAATGTTAACTGCTCCTTGCAACTCAGTGGAGTGTTAACTCCTAGGTCCCCTGCTGAGAAGAGCCAGGGACAATCTACCCAAAACTGTGTGTGGGCCTAATATACCTGTCCCCCAAAATGCACCCAACTGCTGGAAAAGCCCAGGGACCATCATTCTATTCCCCACCCCTATTGATACCAGAGTCCCCTCTTGACTTTCCTGGGGGCAAGGAAAAGGGCTACATTGCTACCAGAGGGATATTGTGAACACATATATGAGTACTTGCAAGCCACACTGAAAGCCTCAGAGGAGGCCGCTGGAAGGGATTGCAAAAGCACAACATTTCCTATAATATGTTGTAGGGGCTTTTGAACTGCTGACTAACTGGTCTGTTTTTGTAAAACACTGCAATGAGGTTGATGCACCTTGAACACAGTCTGTCCTGCTGTTTCCTGTTTTGCCTTGTAGAGCTCTACTGGACAGCCCCAGAACTTCTCAGGCTTGAGGAGTATCCATTCCAGGGGACCCAAAAGGGGGACGTCTACAGTTTTGCTATAATTATGAAAGAGCTGATTTATAACAATGAGGACGGCCCTTTCCACGACCTGGACCAGGAAGCAGAAGGTATAACTTGAACAATAGTTCCATGCTGATTTCCTAGCTCTACCTTAATTCCTGATCACTGCTTTTCATTGCTTCCAGTGAAAGACGTTTCATCATGTTTCAAATATAGCAGTGATCTTGTGATTCCTAACCCCTTACGATCCTTGCAGCATATTACTTACAGGAAAATCTTGTTTTATTGTTTTAGCTTCTTTTTATTTGAGTAAATTCAATATATTATATTTTTGTTGAGGGTTCCACTATCCCCTTCTATTCATCTTCTCTTGGAAAATAAATGTATTTGGAATTTTTCAGGTCAAGGAGGAGGCCAAACCTTTGTATGCAAAGAATTGTGATACTTAAGTGAAGTGGGGAAGAGTTACCTCTGTGGGCACATTTTTCTCCCAGAGTTTCAAGGAGTTAAATGCTCTCACCTGTGGCATGTTGCTGCCATGTCTGATGCCAGTCAGCTCTTCAGAACGCATGGCAGGAGCAGACTTTTGTCCTCCCTCGTGTGATTATCTTTGGTGTGTAAGGAACAAAAAAAAGATACTTCTCTCTTCCCTTCCCACCTTCTCCTGTATTAAGGGCAAGAGTTATGTGGTCCAAAGAATGAGAAATGTTAAAAACAAAATAAATAATGGACTAAAAAATCCTGAAACATTATCATTGCTGTATTTAGAGATCATCAATAGAATCAAGGACCCTTCTACACACTTCCCTCTGCGGCCTTCTCTCTCAGGGGAGAAATGCAGTGAAAGGATCATCACAATGGTGAGAGCTTGTTGGGATGAAAACCCAGAGAGAAGACCAACGTTCTCCTCTGTGAAAAGTTTATTAAGAGAAGCAAGCCCTGAAGGGTGAGTTAGTCTTACTCGTGTAAGAATGATACCATATATGTCTTTCATCCAATAAGACCCAAGTGTTTCATAGACTACAGTCTGGAAGAATTGTTTGCTCACCATTGAAATTCAGCTGCTTCAGGTGGGAAGCAGCACCTGTTTAATAAGGTGAAAGGACGTGGTCATCATGGGTGACCTGAACTTT